ATATATATAGATATGTCTGTGTGTGTATGTGTGTAGATAAATGAATGTGTATATAGATACATATGTACATACATATGTATATATATATATATCTAACACGCATACATGCTTATTTATATATTCCCCCGAGATGCCTCATTACCAGCCTAAGGCACTGAACATCCCGAGACCCCGAATCCCTTCTTGCAACCGTTCCAGCCCTTGTGGGCTTCACAACACCACGAGAAACCCTAAACCCTAGACCCTTTCTTGCAACAGGCCTAGGCCCTAAACCCTAAACCCTAATCCATAAACCCTTATCCGACCCAAAACCATAAACCCTAATCCGACCCTTTTTGCAACAGGCTTTCCACTTCGCCGGGAGTTGGAGCAAGTCCGACCCTAAACCCTAAACCCTCATCCGACCCTAAACCCTAAACCCCAATCCGACCCTAACCCCTCATCCCTAAACCGATTTACTGAGTCCGGTGCCATGGTAGTTCCCACCGAAAGCCTGGACATGGCCGTCACTGCGTAGCAAGACGGTGTTGTGCTCCTGAGACTTCAAGCTGGAGGGCTTAAGGCTTAGGGTTTGTGGATTTAGGGTTTAAGTATTTGAGGTTTAGGGTTTTTTGGGGCTTAGGGTTTAAGGAGGATAGCTTTCGTAGAGTAGGATGTAGCACATACGGAGACGCAGTTTACTCGTCAGTAAACTCGTTGGGGCTGGCAGCATGGGCAGCAGTTACAGTCGTTGTCGCAGTCGTAGGAGTGGTAGCCGCAGCGGGTAGCGGGCAGTGGGTAGCGGGCAGTACGTAGTGGGCGGTAGGTAGCAGGTAGCAGGTAGTAGTAGGTAGTAGCAGGAAGTAGTAGCAGCAGTAGTAGCAGCAGCAGTAGCAGTAGCAGTAGCAGCAGCAGCGGCGGCAGCAGCAGCAGCAGGAGTAGTAGTAGTAGTAGTAGTAGTAGTAGTAGTAGTAGTGGTGGTAGCAGCAGCAGCAGTACTCGTAGTATTAGAAGTCGCAGCAGCAGCAGCAGCAGCAGCCGCAGCA